AATTATAATAATTAAGAAACTTGAAATAATTTTTAAAAAAACATGTCAAAATTGAGATTATTACAAGTTAACTAATAAATTCTACTATTTCTACGGCAAATTCAATCATGTACAATCGAAAATTGTAATTTTTGCGTTGTCATAAAAATTTAATTTTCTCCCTGTGACAATCGTGATTACCGGCTGGCAACCATAAAAAACTTTAAAAAAACATGTCAAAATTGAGATTATTACAAGTTAACTAATAAATTCTACTATTTCTACGGCAAATTCAGTCATGTACAATCGAAAATTGTAATTTTTGCGATGTCATAAAAAATTAATTTTCTCCGTGTGACAATCGTGATTACCGGCTGGCAACCATAAAAAACTTTAAACCGAATAATCTTTCCCACTCACCCGCCCATATTGCCTGGACTACTACTGTAGCCTAGTCACGTAAGCCCTTTACCGCCTTTTTGTGCTCTGACTATTAGTGTCCATGCTATGTCCTAATTTCATTCTCTTCTCTCTTTATCCCATCCCGTATATTCTCATCACATTTCCTACTTTACCCTCATATTATCCTTACATTAATCCTTCACTTACTTTGTCCTACCACAAAATGTCCTACGAACTATTCCATAATCATTCAAGGTAAGAAGATCTTATTAGGAAGTAGATACAAAGTGAAATTTAAAAAAGAACCGATAAAATTTTTGAAAGCATGGTTTTTAAAGCAGGTAAAGGATTCTGTATAAATTTTATAAGTCACCTTTGCCTACACTGTGGGGGTGAGGGAGAAGTGGAATTGGGCCTATAGGTGTCTGATTGTTAAATCCAACGCTGGAAATAGTTTTCCATTTGCAAACATATCTGCTACCGACTTTCGTTCGTTTGATAAAATGAACCATTATTAGGGTTTGAACTTCAGGTATTGCTGTTTTGACCATGAAAGATATGCCGGTTTTATGGTTAAATGCAAAAGTGATTTTCGCAGAATTTGTGTTTAAAAAACGCCTGCACGTCATCAAATAAAAGGGACTCTAGCAAAGTTTATCTTGCTTTATTTGAATTCATACTACACCAATTTTACAGCCCTTTCAATAGGGGGGACGCCTTATGCCCCCTACACTCCTCAAAATTGTTGCGGCATGGTTGTTTAAACACGTTAAAAATATACATTTACGTATTTTTTAAATAAAATTATCGAATTAACTCAACGTCTGTGAAGTTCATGTAAACTTTTAGTAAATAATGGTCACTTTTAGCAAGAAAAAGAGTCAAAAGATGTTTCTTCAGTTACACTGTTATGGTTTGTCATAAAAATGGTTCAACTGTATACAAAGATAAACGGTTGATGTGTTTAACTTTATTGTACCTATTTCAAAAGGATATCTATCCTTTTCCTTGTATTTTTCTTATTTACTATATTGTTTGATAGTAAACCTCTTAAAAGGCAAAAAATAACTACTTAATAAGTAAAACTAACTAATCATTTTCTATTTTATCTTTATAAGGCAACGGAAACAACTTTTTCAAATTGAATAAGTAATTTATTTAAAAATGAGCAATAAACAGATTAAACATTTTCAGAAAATCACTCTTTTTGCATAATGTACAATTACTAGATTTTTTGATTTACGAAAGTTAGTTAATTTGATTATAAGTTTCAATCAGCCTTATTAATTAATATATAAG